GGGGGGGGGGGGGGGGGGTGTCTTATGCAAGGACACTTCTGAATGGTGGGAGAAATACTAGCCTCTAACTAACAAACCACACTGCTGGAGATTCAGTGTCCCAACTAAAGGACAGCTGACTTTTCATATTTATAGTGTGTGTGTACGAGTAATAAAACAGTCCATCCATCACTACGACAAACTGAATCTATGAAGCTACTGACGGATTTATAGCTTGTCTGATGGTCGGACAGCTTCAGGAACCTCCTCCCCCAAAACCTTTTCCGGTTTTAGATTAGGGTTAGCTGTGAATCCCACATTCACACATAGACATGTGGAAGTGAGAAAGGAAGTCAGGATTTGATTTATTTACACCTAAAAAGTCACACAAATCTTACTTAAATGGATGTTTTTGGATGGGGTTTCCTCAAATTCGTGGTTTCACTCGGTCGTTTGCATGAAAAGTCAAGTTGTGTGAGGAATGGAAAAAAGAGCTTGAGTGAGAAAAGGTCAAACGCAGATTGAAATTGATGTTAGACGATCCGACAAGCACTTCTTTGGAAGCATACTGAGGCCTTAACTCAAGCTGAAAACGAACAATTGCACTGTTTAATAATCCGTATTTAATCCAGGCAGTTTGATTTAGGAGTAGAGAAGATGGGGGAGGCAGGATTACACAGGTGGCGTTCATTAAGCTGCTTCACAGGAACTCATGAGTGTTTTGAGGCGTAAGACAGCGCATGATCCTTCATCAGTCTAAGCACGTGGCTTCGTGTACTCTGTCAGGTTTTATTGTATTTTGAGTAATTTAGGCAACCACAAGTTATTACACAACCGAAGAGGTAGCACGTCATCAGCTGCTACACGCCCCCACATGTCTAACGTTCAGGCTGCTGCGGCGTCGCTCTGCGATGATGATGATGTCAAAATGAGCCCAGAGGAATGTGATTTGAATGATGAGACTGTCACAACAGCACCAGAGAGATTGCGCCTATCATCTTTTCCAGTGTGCGTACAGAGAAAATATATGATTTGAGTACCTCCATACATGTTATTAAAACCATTGCAGTCATGTTCCACTTTGAATAAAGATCATGACTCAATGTTTTGCACTCACTTGAAATGGCTGCACACACAAATATGGAAAATATGATGCTGAATGAATTTTCCTCCGTTAAAAAACAAAACGTCCTCGAATGGAGGAAGGGATACAGTACACAACATATAAACATGCATACTGCAGCATTTTCTGGTTTAAGAACATTATTCACTGTGTTTTTTGTTGTTTTTTTTGACTTGCATGTATTGCATTTCCTTATGTTGCATATGTCTATACTGTAGATATCTTGAGTTGATATTTATGATAGAGTCATGCAATGTGTTATGAGATAATGTGGATGTGTGGGCGAGCCAGCCTGAGTTGCACTGACAGAAAAACTGTATGTCTTTTGGCTTGTATGATTGTGGGCTGATACTGAGAACTTTAGTAGACATTTTATAGTGTGAATTCTGGACATTATCTTCTCTGAAAGGCCTTACTGCATTATCGGCTTGGTGTGTTTGAATTCTACTGTTGACATTTAGTGTCCCTTCTAATTTAATAACATCTATTACGGTAACAAATTTGGCCCATATGGCGATAATATGAGGATTCCTCAGCCATCATCACACAGTTCACTAATTAGTTTTTTGGTTTAGCAGTTGATTTTTATTGAATAATTTCTGATCTAACGTTTGCTGGATTATTTGAAAAAAATGTACATTGGATCCCAAAAATGATTGATGTTAAAAATGAAGTGGATGTTTGAATTTGTGGTCAGACATACAGGATGGCCTGAAAGCTCACACTGTGTACTACCTACTACTGTAAAACTTCAATTAATAACCTTTTTATTTCTTCAGTCACTGAATTCAAACTGCTTATGTTCGGATCAGGCCTTTTTAATTGCTTTTGCACTAAACTCTTGCTTGGCAAAGGCGGGAAATCCTGTCAGATTATTGTGTGAAGAATGAATAAAGAGAGCTTGAGCGAGAAAAGGTCAAACCCTGCCCGTTTTCACACACCTGGCTGACGTATTGCTTCAAAAAGTTGCAGAAATTGTCGGTTCGCAGCCTCAGTTTGACAAAACTTTAAACATTAATATTCGTGTAGGCGATCTAAGCAGCTTAGAACTCGCTCAAGTGGACTTTAAGAGGTTTTATACATCCAAAGAATTTCTATAAAATCCAGACTGGGTGTCTTATTGAGACCAGAACATGTAGCCACACCAGGCTAGTAATGAGGACCTGCGTCTAATTGAGACCCTGCTTTTAATTGAATTTAACAGGCACGTTTTTATTATAAATAGAAACGTAAATGTCAAATAAAAGCACTCAAATTTAAGCATTAGGTATAATTTACTTGTGCTTTTTGAGGAGTATGGGAACTTTTGGGAAATGGGTTTTTTGGTGTCATTTTTTTCAATAAAAACCAACAGTCTTTATAGTGATTGTACATGAAAACTGAAATTCCACAATCTCAACATTTACAGTAATCTGGTTTCCATTAAGTCACAATGTTTAAAAAACATTCAACTACAGCAAAGAGCAAACATGTTGAATTCGACCTTTTTTTTTTTTTTTAAAAGATTGTTTTTTTGTTTTTTCACTTTAATGGTAATAATATTTTTGTTACCAGTGGATACTGACTCGAGTTGCACAGTTTGAGCTTTCAGAGGCAGTTTTTTATTCATTCTTTTAACTGTGATGAATCAAAGCGTTGTTATCATATTGGTGTTTTACACAAGATCTGTACATGGGTTAGAGCGATATTTTCTCGTTTCTGCTGACTGATATTTTAGCAAAATAAAATGGCATCCCAGTTTGATGGGAAGTTTCTACCTTTTTTTTTTTTTTTTAACGATTTAATAAAATTCAGCTCCGGAGTCGCAGTCTGTCCAACAACAATAGTTGTATACGCATGGGTTCAGCAGAGATGTAATGCTGTTTCACAAACAAACCAAGGGAATAAAAATCTCAACTTCTTGAATGGCTTTTATTTTGTTCATAAATCTATTTAGGTGGCTTTTAATGCCATAAATATGGGCAAACTTCAGTTTGCTGGAATACTGGCCGTTAGCGTCTCCAGAAATAAAGCCCTCTTGTAATTAAAAATGTAATAATACTTATATTATGTGGCAATTTTTAAAGAAACCACTGGCTTTGCACATGCAGGTGCCACTAAAATCCTCTCCAAAAATGTTCTTCCAAATGCTCTTTTGAAAGATTTTTAGGGCTGGAATCACATGAATTTAATGGATCGACAAGGATTTGGTTAAAAAAAAAAACAGGATATTAAACAGATATTACAGTTTACAATATCAATTTTTACTTTTGTTAGTGGAAGGATGATTTTGTATTTAAGGTAATTTTCAACAAAATTCAAGCTATTGAATCATGATGATTTGTTGGGTTTCTGCACTGATAATTTGATAATATTCAATTAATAGACCTTTTTCAACAGCAACCATTTTGACATAGGGTAAAACACAGGTGTTACCAATTGAACTTGAGGTAATTTAGTGTTGCAGACCTTTTCTAGTAATATAATTTTGTATGTTTGTTGTTCAGCTATCTAACGAATGGATATTAGGGGCAGAATAAGAAAATAAGAAAAATACATTTTTTTGGGGGGGGGATACGAAATAAAGTTCGTAATGTTACGGAGAATAAAGTTCATAATAATATGAGATATGTAATAATTAATACAAGAAAAAAAAGCGTTTTTAATCAGAAAAAGCTTTGATAGATTATTTAAGATCTGATGGTGAGCAGCTCACAATCAGCCAGCCTCAGCCTGTTTGTCTAGTCAGTTTACAAGTCAACATTAACTTAACTATTATCAATTTCGTCATTAAACTGTTTTGCTGGCGGAACCAAAACAAGGGCTGACATTCGTCATTTATTAAACTTTATTCTCGTTAATTGTTACGACTTTATTTCTTGTAATGGTTAGACTTTATTCTCGTAGGACCTATTATGACTTTATTCTCATAATATTTTGACTTTATTCCGTATATTACAAACTTATTCTCGTAGACCTAAATTATGACTTTATTCTCGTAGACCCTAATATACAACTTATTCTCGTAAGAACTAATATTACAACATTTATTCTGTAGACCTAATAATTACAACTTATTTCGTAATGTTACGCTTTATTCTTTAATGTTTAACTTTATTTCTCGTAGACCTAATATTACAACTTTCATTCTTCGTAATTACGGACTTTATTCTGTAACTGTTTAAGACTTTATTCTCGTAAATATTATGACTTCATTCTCGTAATGTTATGACTTCATTCTCGTTGACCTAATATTATGACTTAGTATCTGTATAGTATAGTCTTAGTATGGCCCTAATACTCTGTCCTAAGTATCAGAATCATGTGTAACTGGCAGCTGCGAGGCCTCAATGCGCCTGTTGACCTGTGGCGGCAGCACTCGCTCCCAGCATTGTGTATCCCGCCGCTTCAACCTTTCCACGAAGAAAACAAAAAAAACGACTCGTAAGATAGAGGGAGGAAAAAAAAAAGAAGTGTGAGTGCTGCTCCTGTTTACAACAACACAATGGAGCCGAAACGGTCCAATATCACCTGCAAGCGTGTCTTACTGACTGGATTTACGTTGTGTGTTGTATTAGGTAAGTGTCGAGGTTAAATCTCAGTCTGTAAATGTTTGATTTTGAGCTCATTATCTAAGGTGGGGGGGTGGAGGTGGAGGTGGAGAGGGGGGGGTGTTAGCTCGCTGGCGATGTTGCATTGCCTCTCATGCACGGGAGACACCTAACTACACCCCTAACATCTGTGATCAATGCAGCTGTTTGTTCCTAACTCAGGGCTGGAGGCGACATTCACCGCGGCCGAAACCCTTTGTTTTCCTTGTGAGTGTGAGCTGGACCCTTCCGTGTTCACACGCCGATATAATAATACAGATAATGTGCAGGAACTGTTAAATTGACTAAAATATGAATGGGGTTTGGTGCAGAGCGGGGGGCTGCCGCCCTTCTTTGGGAGGTGATGGTGGGACAAAACCGTGAAACAGAGCTGGAAGAAGGGTTGCTGGGTGTGTTGGGTGTGTGCCGATTTGAAGAGAGTGTATTAGTAATATATTTAATGTGTAAAAGTGTGTGTTATCGTGGAGGTACACAAAGCCACGTTAAAGTGCCAGGTTTTGTGAATAAGTGTCGTTAAGGCGTGAGTCTCTGCGGTAGCGACGTGTCCTCCAGGGGATAGTGGATTTCCAAGCTGTCCCAGGTTTATAGAGCATTTCCAGCACGATGTATCAACAGCATTAACTCACGGTTATTGTGTTTTATTCACAGTTTTGGCTTTATTGAAACGGTGCCAACGCATCGGCTCTGCAGGCAGCCTGACTCACTACCTTGACTGGCTCCAAAAACCTTAGATAACATCTCATTTCCTTGTTGGTTAACCCTCCTCCTGATACACTTAATGATACAAGAGGAACACAACTGTATGCGCTTGAGATTCACTTCAGTTTTACTAATAATGGACTTCTAAATGTAGATATGTTTGTATGTCAGATACTGTAGAAGTGGCTCTACATTAATCTGGTAATTTAGGAAGGCGTGTGCACAAAATGTGAATGATTTAATCCAGCAGATGCAGAAGGTCACCAGTTAATTGATTCCCTGTTTATTGCTGGACAGCTTGAAGCAAATAAAGAAAAAGTGTAAAAGGTGACAGTAGGGCTGCGAAATGAATCGAAATA